CCCCGGAAAATCAGACTGGGATTGGGATCTAGAGGAAGTTGAAGCTACGGAGTCCCCCGGCTTTGGCGGGGGCTTTGTGGGCCTGTGGTGGGTGGATGCGGCCCAGGGACCGGGAAGGCCCCCAGCCAGGCCTTGCCTGGGAACTGGGGCCTTCAGGAGGTGTCGGTTCGGCGGGTCTGAGCAGGGCTGGTGCGGTTCGGGCAAGGTGGCCTCTACCGACGACCGTTATCTCTGTTTCTTGGGGCCTCTGCAGCTCCCTCCAAGATCACTGCGGTGGATGGGAGGGGGGGGGTGGACCGGGGTGGGGTGGGGTAGGGGAAAGCAGGCGGGGTAGATCCAGACTGCGGATGAAACAAAGACTGCTGTTCCTGAGGAATCATAAAATACTATTAAATAGAATACTTGGGCTTTACGGAGATTTTTGCCTTTTTAAAAATTATCACGGTGAATGCTGAGACTGAGGATTCTTTAGAGTCAGGTTTAATTAGCCTTGATAGGATCTTACTCTGGAAAAAAACTTTATAATCTATTCATTGTTTTATCTCCATTAATCTGCCTGTATTATTATTCTAGTCCCAGGCTTTTGATGTTTTTAAGTATGCCCTGTCTGTCTTGGGTTCTGGAAAAGTGGCCATTTTATGCATCTCCTTACTTCTGCATCTTAAATTCAGTTCTTTCCCTGTCCTTATCGGGAGAAAGCATATGGTGTAATTGTGCAATATAGCACAAGCTTTTGCAGCAAAAGGATGTGACCTGTGAGTGCTTGGCCGCTTATTTGGGCTCCTTAGGGAAATCATTTCAGTGAAGAGACTGGCTACAAGGTGAGATGGAGGAAATTTTGAAGGGCACGTTGCAGGGTGAAAGATTATATCCCTCAGCAGTTTATGTACTTTGTTATCACACAGGAGGAATTAAAATTCTTGGTTTGGGATTCAAGATTGAGAAATATTTTTTTAACACACTGTGAATATGTTAATTGGGAGATGATGGGAGCCATACATTCAGATTGTGGCCTTTTGCTGTCACTTGTGATTGTTTGCTTAAGACAGAGTTTTGATAAATTAACAGACTTGCACAGCCCTGGAATGTCAGTGACCTCAGTGGTGGCTAACATTACACAAACCGGGCCAGTCCTGTTTTAGTTCATCAGTTTTTAAAGGATGCTCTAAAGTGCATAACTTGTGCATTATTATTATTGTCATTATTATTATTGCCAGCCCTGGGGCTTGAACTCAGGGCCTGGACACTGTCCCTGAGCCTCTCTGTGCTCAAGGCTAGCACTCTACCACTTGAGCCACAGCACCACTTCTGGCTTTCTCTGTTCATGTGGTATTGAGGAATCAAACCTAGGAACCTAGGGTTTCATGCATGCTAGGCAAGCACTCTACCACTAAGTCAAATTCCCAGCCCCTGTGCATTATTTTTGTTTGCTTTTGTCAATAAAGCTATTTATGAAATTGAATTGTTCTCCTCTGTCCATGTCTACATTGGGTTCAGGTTGGGGGGAGGGTACAGTGGGCATTTTACTGGAAGTAAAAAATGACCTGGGGAATAGAGCCCCAGGAGTATGTCTAAAACCAGTTTTGGAAATGGAAACTTGAGCACTGTTAGGGGCTAATTCATACACTGATCAATGATTTATCTGTAATTAGGCAGTTATTTCAAATGACATGAAGATAAAGCTCCAGATTATCTTCATGTCCACTACAAAGAGGTTACTATTCTTTTTTTTTTTCCTCCCCTAAATAAAGGCATTTTTTCCCCTTTAAAATACATATCCTTTGCCAGATTGCTAAGTCTATGCCTTTGGCCAAGTCAAGTCTAAGTCTGCCCTGTAGACATAATTTTTATTTGGCAAACATAATATATAGCCATATTACATGCCCTTCACAATTTCCTCCCTCTCTCACCTTCCATCATTGTAGCCTGCATTCTGGACCTGAATCCTGGGCTCAGTCCCAGCTCTGCTACTTGGTGATGTGAGCTTGGTGGGCTGTTTGTCTTTCTGATGTCCGTCCAGTAAAATGGAGATGGCGTTGGTACTTACCTTATAGCACTCTTGTGAGGATTAAAACTTAATATGTGCAGTTACTTAGAATAGGGTCTGTTTGTAATTAAGGATATATAACAACAACACTTGCTATTTTAAAAAATTGTGTTAATAACTTTTCAGCAAGGCAAAACATTTTGGGAGTGGTTCATGTTAAATACCATCTTAACTCAGATCAGATACCAAATGTGCAACCAAGTGAAAAAACAATACAGTGTTTTTGACAGTCACAAGTAAAGGGTTAAACTGATCCAGGCATCTCCAGTGACCTCATGAACTCTGAATTAAACGAAACGGGCACCTACTACCTACTATATAAGCTCAGTGGTGCAGTGCTAGGTAGGGCAAGGAGACTGTTAGAGGCACAGAGCAGAATGTTAGGAGAAGGAAAGGATTAAATTGCCAGATTGACCTGAAAAGAACCTTTGAGAGGGTGGCATTTGGGTCAGGAGTGGAAGGAATAGTAGGTTATTAGTTGTGGAGAAGTTGAAGCTCACAGTGAGACTGGGACTATTACTTATGACTGATCAATAGTTGGGATCTCTTGTGAAGTACCAGAGACTAAGCTGAGTGCTCCAGTCTCCAGTGCCTTGCTTGAGAAGCCCAAAAGTAACAGCCAATGAATTAAAAACACGGACTGGCTTTAGTGGTAGAACACCATCTCTGAGCAAGAATGTTGAGCAAGAACTCGAAGTCCTAAATTCAAGCATCAGTAGTGATGCATAAATAGATAGATAGATAGATAGATACATACATACATACATACATAGATACGTAGATGTAATTTTATCCCACAAAATTGGGAGCACATTGTAATTATAATTTTATGATCTATTTTTTATGGGGAATGACAAACCTTTTTGTACCTAGAAAAAGTACTAGTAAATTTTGGTAAAATGATAAAATAACTAAAAAGAAATATAATTTGCATTTTTAGACCCGCTGTAGAAACGACCTGTTCCAATAAAATAATTTTTTCTAATTATAGCCACCTACTAAATTGAAGTGTGCTTTTACATACCCAAGGTAAATTAAGGAAGTGCACAACGCCAGACATTTTGGTAGCATACCTGTAGTCCCTTAGAAAGGCTAAGGCAAGGGGATCATGGCTTTAACACCAGCCTGGGCAACATAGTGAGATCTTGTCTTTAAAAAGGAGTGGAGAGGGGAAGAAAGGGAGATAGAAATATATGTGTTCATACCTATTGGCTGCAAAATAATATTGGCTATGTGCTGTATAAGCTATAACTTTATTCTGAATAAGGATAGGAATAATTTACTTTCATATTTGTTATAGTTGAATATTTTTTGCTAGGGATTGAACCTCAGAACTTTGAGCTAGGCAGACTCTCTACAACTTGAGCCACGCCTCCAGCTTCCATTGGTTATTCTGAGGCTGTTAACTTGTTCCCTGGGCCAGTCTGAACTGTGATCCTCCTTCTTATGTGTCCCTGTGTGGCTATGGATGACAGGCACAGTTTGCTAATTTCAACCTCCCAGGTGTCAAGTACTACAGGCTTAAGCCACTACTCCTAGCTGTTTTTTTATTTTACTAGATTCTGTACTTCCTCAAAAAGGAGGAGTGTGTTCTTAAGTTCACCTAGTGATTCTCATGCTACCCTTAACCCAGTGTAGAAAGTCTCCTTCATAGTCTACTAGGCCCAGTTGCTAGAGGTAGTGGTGGGCTTTGGAAACCCTACTACTGAATGTATGTATAGGCACAAATATTTCCTACATTGCCCTCTCCCTCCCCATGTTGGTGCCTAAGAAGTAAAATCAGCCAGGTGCTGGTGGCTCACGTCTGTAATCCTAACTACTCAGGAGGCTGAGATCTGGGATCATGATTCAAAGCCAGCCTGGGCAAGGAAATTTATGAGACTCTTATCTCCAGTTAACCACCAAAAAGCTGGAGGTGGAACTGTAGCTCAGGTGGTAGAGCACTAGCCACTAGCCTTGAACACAAAAACTCGGGGGACACTACACAGGCCCTGACTTCAAGCCCCAGGATCAACATGCACACAATGTGTGTACACACACACACACACACACTGAAATAAAATCATTTTGTTACAAAATGTGTTAGCAATTTTATTTACAGAAGTCTTAATGGGTCACATATTTGGTGATTTTTTTTTGAGGGCGAGTCCATTTGAGTTTGTGATTTTTGTTTGATCCATGTTTATAACCTTTAAAACTTGAGAACATTTTTTAAAAGATCATGTAATGAATGAGTTTAGAACCTTGCCTTTCAACCTCTTTTATTGGAGGGGGCGGAGGTGTTGGTTTGATTTTTTTGCAGTGCTGAGATTTGAACTGGGATTTGTACTGGCAAGAGCTCTACCACTCACGCCATTCCTTCAGCCCAGGTTTTTGCTTGTGGATTTGCCTAGGCTGTTTTCGAACTGGGATCCTCCAGGTCTCAGCTTTGAAGCCTCCCATCTCCTGGATAAATAGGATTATAGGTGTGAGTCACTGGCACTGCTCAACACCTTTCTTTTCTTTCTTTCTTCCTTCCTTTCTTCCTTCCTTCCTTTCTTCCTTCCTTCCTTCCTTCCTTTCTTCCTTCCTTCCTTCCTTCCTTCCCTTCCTTCCTTCCTTCCTTCCTTCCTTCCTTCCTTCCTTCTTTTGTCTTTTGTCTTTTGTCTTTTTGTTTTGTTTTAATGATGGTCCTGGGGCTTGAATTCTGGGCATGAGTACTGTCTCTGAGCTTTTGTGCTCAAGGCTAGTCTTCAATCAATTGAGCCATAGCTCCACTTCCAGCTTTTTGGTGGTTAGTTGGAGATAAGAATTTCACGGATTGGCTGGGAAGGTGGCTCAGTGGTAGAGTGCTTGCCTTGCATGCCTGAGGCCCTGGGTTCTATTCCTCAGCACCACATAAGAAAAAAAGCTGGAAGTGGTGCTGTGGCTCAAGTGGTAGAGCGCTAGCCTTGAGCTGAAGAGCTGAGGGACAGTGCCCAGGCTGGCTTGGAACCATGATCCTCAGATTTCTGCCTCCTGAGTAGCTAGGATTACAGATGTGAGCCACTGGTGCCTGGCACTACCAACCCCCCCTCCCCCCTCTTTTATAGCCAACATACTTGGTAGCAACAATGTCTCACCATGACAGTGAGAGAGCTGTGGAACAGTGCTTGTCAAGGGTGGCCTATGGTTAACAGCATCTGGGAATTAGTTCAAAATACAGATTCTATATGTTCACAAGCCTTCCTGGTCCTATTCATGCCACAATTTGAGACCCACTACTCTAGAGCATTACACTGTAGAGGCAAGATCAGGGTAGTGGAGTGAATTTACTGATGATGGATAGAATGTTGCTGTGGAAACTGGATGAGGCCAGCAGCCATGGGATGGGCATAGAGGCCTTAGAGGGCTGATCGTAAAGTCAAGTTACACTTGTCTTCGGTGGCCCTAATATGATGCATGGAAAAGCTATAGGGGGGCTGATTTGAGGCATTTATGAGGGGAGGACAGGACCTGTTGTCTGAAGGTGGACTGGGAGGCATATTTTGACCTGATTCTTTACTCCCTGGCAGGCATCATGTGTTTTTGTAGCTAAAGCTACAAATCCCAGTTCCAAGGACCCTTTATTACTCATCTTTGTTTTCTTTTCTGCTTTTCTCCTTTCCCTTCTTAACTCCCTGTTTAATTTGTGGTGAGTGTGATAGAGAAGATGGAGAGGAGAAAGAGGTCACCCTAGAACTTTGCTTTTCTGCTTCTGCCTGCTTTTCAGCTCTCAGTAACTGAGGGCAAATCTTGAGCGGTTGTCTGACAACCAGAGTCATAATTAGTGGTCATCCTTGAAATTTGCCTTGGAAAACTTGGGTAGTGTGGCCGTGAAAAGGAATACCCCCAGTTCCTTAACCCACAGTTTATGCTTTATGTTAACCAAGGATTTTGTTTTAAGTGTCTTAGAAAGAAAAACTTGTAAATTCTTTTATATTTCATAACTGTCTGACTTTGGCCTTCTTTTCTCCTTAGAGGCAATTGCTCTCGGATCCTTTTGTTTACAATGGCGCAGAGAACTGGAGTGGAGGACCCAGAGAGGTATCTCTTTGTGGACAGGGCTGTCATCTACAACCCTGCCACTCAAGCTGACTGGACAGCCAAAAAGCTAGTGTGGATCCCATCAGAACGCCATGGTTTTGAGGCAGCTAGTATCAAGGAAGAACGGGGAGATGAAGTTCTGGTGGAGTTGGCGGAGAATGGAAAGAAAGCAATGGTCAACAAAGATGACATTCAGAAGATGAACCCACCTAAGTTCTCCAAGGTGGAAGATATGGCAGAGTTGACATGCTTAAATGAAGCTTCGGTTTTGCATAACCTGAAGGATCGCTACTATTCAGGACTTATCTATGTAAGTATTTCTTCCAAGTAACCAACCATGAGAAGTAATGACTGGGAATCAATGTCAATTTATATTATACATGTTATCAGAATGAGGAATACTCACATTCTCTGTTTCCCATTACTATTGCAAGATAAATGTGGAAAGATGATCTCTTAGTTATCCAACTCTTGCTTTCCTTCCAGTCTTATCATGCTAAGTTTAAATAATACAACCAGCAATTAGATGTAATTGAATGGTGTTTGGAGACTTCTAAGTGTGCTCTGGAGCATAATAAGATGAGAGAGAGAGCATGTGGCAGAATGACCAGGGAGTTTAATCAGGTAATGAGACTGGCATTGGTAGGAGGATCCAGACAGCACAATGCTAAAAAATCAGGTGCCATCTGAGAGGATGGAGTAGACAGGCTGCAGCCTCAGGTATTGGTGAAGATGGAGAACAGAGAACAGGAAGTGAGGAAAGTGAATGTTGAGGGCCTTTTGTTTTCTGTTGGTACTGGGGCTTGAACTCAGGGCCCCAAGCTCTCCCTTGGTTTTTTCCACCCAAGGCTAGCTCTCTACCAGTTGAGCTACACATCTGCTTCTGGCTTTTTTGCTGGTTAATTGGAGATAAAAAGTCTTAGACCTTACCTGCCTGTTGGCTTTGAACTGTGATCCTTAGACCTCAGCTTCCTGAGTAGCTAGGATTATAGGTGTGAGCCACCAGTGTCTACCAATGCTGAAGTTTTTTAAGAAACAGTTCAGGGTGAAGTTGAGGCTGTAATTGTCCTGTGGTTGGTAGCTGACACATATGTATAGTCACCATATAGAAGTTATTAAAAATAATAATGATCAATAAAATAGAGAAGAAAACAGAAGTCAGATACTGAAAAAGAGTCTAGGTTTAGCTTGGCGCTGGTGGCTAATGCCTATAATCCTAGCTTCTCAGGAGGCTGAAATCTGAGGATCACTGTTCAAAGCCAGCCCAAGCAGTAAAGTCCGTGAGACTTTTATCTCCAATAAACTATTCAGAAAAAAAAATGGAAATGGTTTTTGGCTCTAGTGGTAGAGCCTTGAGCAAAAGAAGCTCAGGGACAACATTCAGGCCCCTGAGTTAAAGCCCCAGGACTGGGAAAAAAAAATGTTTGAGGAGATGGAAGACAGATTAGAAACTAAGTTAGAAAAGGGAGAGAAAGAGAAAAGCAGGCTGGGGATGTGACAGAAAAAGTGGAAAGTGGCACTGTGGCTCAAGTGTAGAGTGTTAGCCTTGAGCAAAAAAAGCTCAGAGGAAGTACCTAGGCCCTGAATTCAAGTCCTAGGACTGTCAAAAAAAAAAGAGAGAGAAAAGTAGATTGTAATAGTCTGAAATTGGAAAAGTGGTTGATTTTTATGTAAAGAATGGGCTCCCAAATAAATAAAAACTAATCAGTCCGAGAGTGTGTTTGGAAAATTGTGGAAATAGTGTACTTGATATAAGGAAATGGAGCAAGGTTAGAGCAGAGTGGCAGTGAAGGACTTTGATACTGTAGCATTGGAGTTAAGAGTCAGACTGATGAAAGCCCACTAGAGGAAAGACTGATAAATGAACAGCTCATTCATGACCTTTGCCAGAGTCATTTCCATCAAAGAGGAGAAAGCCAGGATTCAAAACAAAACAAAAAACCCCACCAATATACCATGGAAAATATAGCCAAGATTGAGGACTAGTGTGGCTATGATTTTTTTGCTCCAGCCCTGTGAGAGAGGGGAGCCAGTAGCTCTGTTACTAGACCAGAAAGAGGGTAGCTTAGATGTCACTGGACACTCAAAGAAGAGAGCCAATAGGTCAACCATTGGAGCTTTTAGTGATGTTGAAGGACAGGATTCATGGAGTGGGCAAGGAAGAGAACTGGAAAATCCAGAGATTGTGGGCAGATAGTAATGTGGACACCTCAAACATTGCAGTGACTTAGGGTTGGAAAGGTCATCAGAAGCCAGCAAGAGGAGGGCAGTAGGGCAGGAGTGTCTTCATCTTGATTCCCCCCTCTGGACACTAGGTGACTGCTAGCAGGAGAGAGAAAGCTGATAGAAAAGCAAGGGAGATCACAGATCTGCATGAAAAAAGTGTCTTTTATTTGTAGCCATTCATCATGATATTTCTGAGATATTACAGCTGTTGATGGCATTTTTTTCTCCTAGCTTACTCAAAGACAATTGTATGACTTTGTGAGGTTCTTTTCTAAGCATGGCTTCTTGGTCTGTACTCTAGGAGATTCTGAATTTTTCTCAAAGCTTTAAGGTAACCACGGGGGGATCATCTCTAGTCAAGTGGGCATAAGTAATGTCCACCAATGATTCTAATTGGAGTAATTGACTATAGAGTTAGGTGATGAGAGGATCTGAGGAGAAGGCAGCCTTGCTGAGTTGTGTTGTATTTTTGTCTCTGGCTTTGGAATTAACTAGACAGTTTTCAGTTGATAGGTTGAGACACTTATTATAATAATTTTCATAGGATCTTTGTTTTTGCATGCATGTCAGTACTGGGACTTGAACTCAGGGCCCATGTGCTATCCCTTAGCATTTTTCCTCAAGGCTGGTATTCTACCACTGGAGCCACACCTCTACTTCCAGTTTTTTGTTAATTGGAGATAAGAGTCTCATAGACTTTCCTCTCCAAAGTTGTTTTGTTTTGTTTTGTTTTTTACTACTAAGTTCTAAGTGTTTTCTAATTTCTAGGATTAACATTTCCAAGGGTTGGATTTTATAGTAATCTTTTTACCTTCAATTTTTTTCTTTTTGGTTATTGAGGATTGAGCTCATGGCCTTTGGCCTGTGTTCTTCCACTTGAGCTATGCCCCTAGTCCATTTGCTTTAGTTCAGATAGGGTCTCATTCTCTCTTTGCCTGGCTGGCCTCAAACTGTGATCCTCCACAGGGAAGGACATCTAGTAGAATGAACAGCACAGGAAAAATCGTGGAGATATGACATCGAGGCACATGGTTGCCATTTCACCCACCACCTCTGCCTTGCAAAAAGTTAAAGACAGAATTATCATCCTCTAAAAATTATTTTTTACTACCCCTGCCTCTTGAGTAGTTGGGATTACAGGCATCAACACCTGGCCCTTTACTTTGATTTTTAACATAATTGCATCATAAAGAATACATCAAAGAATAGTTTGACCAAAATTAAACTTAAAAATGTTGTCACGGGGGAGGGGGGAGGCTGGGAAGGGATGGGAAGGGTAAACAAAGGAGGAGGCTGCAATGCTTGGTAAGAAATGTACGCATTATCCTGCCCATGCAATTGTAACCCCTCTGTACAGGATGTTCACAAATAAAATAAAATAAAATTTAAAAAAAATGTTGTCACGGGCTGGGAAGGTGGCTCAGTGGTAGAGTGCTTGCCTTGCACATATGAGGCCCTGGGTTCGATTCCTCAGCACCACATAAGCAGAAAAAAAAGCCAGAAGTGGTGCTGTGGCTCAAGTGGTAGAGCACTAGCCTTGACCTGAAGAGCTGAGCTACAGCGCCCAGGCCCAGAGTTCAGGCCCCACGACCGGATAAAAAAAAAAAAAAAGTTGTCATTTTTTGTGATTGTTTTGTGTGTGTTGGCAAACAATGTGTATTCTGTACTGTTGGGTGTAACATTCCATCTGTGGCAGTGAGATGAAGATTTTTAATTATGTCGTTTAAATTTCTTATCATCTTACTAGTTTTTGTCTGTTTTATTATCAGTTACTGAGAGAAGCATATTAAAATCTTCTAGTGTGTTTTATTAACTAAGTGTGCAATCTAAACAAAATAGTTCAGTCTTACCTATGGTTGTTTGTTTTGGGGATTTTGGAGTTTGAGGGTGGTACTGGGACTGAAATTAGGGCATTACACTTGCTAGGCTGGAGCTCTGCCTGTTGAGCCACACCTTCTATCTGACTTTTTGCTGGTAGTTTTGACAACAGCATGTGACACACTTTATTACCTAGGCTGGTCTCAAACTGTGGTTCTATGAGTCTCAGCTCCTGAGTCGCTAAGATTACAAGTATAAGCCACTCAGGATTGGATTGGCTTCTGTATTTGAATTTTTATATTAGTGAACTTTATTTAAAGTTTGCAGTGCTTTGTGTCTGGGTTTTTTGTTTTAATATTATTGTTATTATTATTGCCAGTCTTGAGGCTTGAACTCAGGGCCTGGGCACTGTCCCTGAACTTCTTTTTGCTGAAGGCTAGCACTCTACCACTTGAGCCACAGCGCCACTTCTGGCTTTTTCTGTTTATATGGTACAGAGGAATCGAACCCAGGGCTTTGTGCATGCTAAGTGACAAGCACTCTACCACTAAGCCACCTTCCCAGCCTTAACATTACATTTTGAACAGTCATCCATAATGTTTAGTGGTGGCATAATTCAGTAGTTTTCAAAGTGTGATCAGTGGATCCCTTAGGGTTTCCCTAAAACCTTTTCAAGGGATCTAAGAGGCTAAAAGTATTTCGTGATGGTATGAAGACATTATCAGCCTTTTCCACCCGTAGCATTTGTACTGATGGTCCAAAGACATCGGTGATAAAGCGATGAATAAAAGTCCTGACACTAAATGTACTCATTACTTGACTTATGTAACTGTAAGCCCTCTGTACATCATTTTTACAATAACATTTTTTTAAAAAGTTCTGATACCTTATCACAACAAACACAGTGACCCCAGGCTTACGCTAGTTTTCTTGTTTTGCTCAAGGCTGGCACTCTACTATTTGATCCACAGCTCTACTTCTGGCTTTTTTTTGGTGGTTAATTTAAGAGCCTTACAGACTTTCCTGCCTGGGCTGGCTTTCAACATCATCTTCAGATCTTAGCTTCCTAAATAGCTTAGAATTAGAGGTATGAGCCACTGGTGCCTGGCCACTGGTTTTTAATTTTACTCTTCACTGCCCTTTATTGGCAATTGAAGAAAACCTCTAATATAACTTCAGAAACATCCTTGATAAAGGCAGAACAAATGATTGATTTTTATTAAATTTCAGTCTTTGAGAGCTCATATTTTTAATACTCTGTATGAT